TGCATATCTCTTGCAATCAATCAGCTTTTTATCTCAGTCTGTCTTGTCTGCAGTTGAAATGCCATGGGAATTTCCATGGGGGCTTTCAGCCTTGAATTCCCAGTTGATGCCAAATCTAAACTGCAGCTGCAGCCAGGAATTCTCGTGAATAGCTGATCACCTGAGATTGCCCCATGCTGGAGCAGGGATCCTGCAGGAGCACAACAGGGAGTCCCAGTGAGACCAGGCTGCATTCCAGCCTGCAGCCAGCCCAGCTCCTGGGTGTAGATTTCAACAGCCTTCCCTACCCATCCCATGAAGCTCTGCTGCACTTGGCATGGCACCCCATCTCTCAACGTGCCGCATCCTCTCTTTGCTTCCTGACTGCTCCAGCTGCCTGCCTTCCATCTGAGCCATAAAAACTGAGCTGCGTCTTAGCCTTTTCCCACATCACCCTGCATTGACCCCCCCTCCAGTTTCCCTGCAGAGAACTCTTGAAGAAACCTCTACCTTCTCTGCCATCCTGCACAGACTGTGCCAGTGGCCCTGCCCTTACAGACCCTACCTCCCTCCTACTGCTGCCTGCGCTGGCCCTTCTGGATCTACACTGCAATTCATTGCAACAGTGAAGTCCCCATCCTGTGGAAACTGAGTGAAGACCTTTTCTTGTTATGAGAAGGTAACATTTAAGGCATCCCTTGGGCTACTGTATCTGGCAGCCTAGCTGGTGCTCTTTTGTGTGAGTGCCACTCTTTTGAAATGCCAGCTCTGGTCTTAATGGCAGCCAGCAGAAGGTACCACTCGCTCTCTCTGTAATTGATTCCTCATCACTTGTCACTGGCCTTTATTCTCCCTTTTGATTAGGAAGAAGGAATAATACAGATCACAAGACAAATGCAAAAAGATTGCCTTGTATGGGAAGAGGTAGCAACGGGATTGCTGGTGTCCTGGGATTTTTCTTTTGTTTATTTGTCTCTGGTTGGCTGGAGAGATTTAGCAGCAGATAGATGGTCTATTTTTGTGCGTCCCTCACCAGCAGATACCCCTAGGAAATGCCAGATGGGGGAGATGGGTAAGGGGCAAGAATGACAGAAATAGGTAACAAAACTGGCCAGCTGGTTTTGGACTCTGATACAGGAAAGTAGGCACAATTGCAGTTTAAAACCAGGCAAAAAGGGTGACTGCAGCACTGGAGAACATCCCATATGGGCCTTTCACATCTGCACTGATGGGAAGTTGAAGAGCAAGTGACACTTTGGTTCTTCCTCAGTTTGTAACCACTGGAAGGGGAGAAGAGCTCAGGCACTTTTATGTTCACTCAGGTCTCATAAAATGTTTGCTATGTTTCTCAGTTCCCTTCTGAGTGACTGAGAGTTATTGTCCTGCTTGATTATCATTATCATATTGTGTCAGCAGATGAAAGTAGGTAAAAGCAGTTTGCTGAGGATCCCATAGCAAGTCAGTTTTCAGCTGTAAATGGGCTCCTCACACCCCACACATGCATAGCCTGTGCACCGACTCCCTCCTGCAAAGTGGGATTTGGAGATGTAGTCTTTGCTCTAGGAGGGGCACTTAACAAGCATTAGGTGGTTGATTCAGGCTGAATTTGTGTGCCATGCTGAAAGCTACACTGTGAATAAAGATAGTTAATAAGGCATGAGATGGGTATCGCTAGATTGCATGGAAGTAGGTGTGGGCAGATGCGAATCTACCAGAGGTCAGGACCTATGGATGTCCATATGTACACAGGCCTCACGTCCCTTTTTAGCCTGAGAATTAATTTGTGAGATCCTGAACAATGCTTGATTTTAGGGCAGTGGGCTGAACCCAAAGCTTTCCCTTGGAAAACACAAAGCCCTGCAGCGCTTATTCCATCACAAAGTTGGCTTTTGAGGCCAGACTGGAAAGTGCAGATATAGAAGCTCTGAGGAACTGGAAAGATGACTTGGAGATTCCTGCAGTCCAAGTCTGCAATGTTTTATGGCTCTGCCTGGAGCTCAGATCTGGAGGTTCATTTACAAGTACCTCCATCACAGGCTACATGCCCTTAAACTTGACTGGCAACTGGTGGCAGACTGACACATGGTAGAAGGGAATAAAGTAGAAGACCTGCACAATCTTTAACATCTACAACACTGTGGCCTCAAATCAGATGGGACAGTCCAGATGTTTAAAGTCCTAGAGTCTCTGCCATGCCTCCCAGAAGCATATTCCCAGTGACAGCTGGAGGTATTATAGTTCCTTCCCAGTCTCAGGGAGCCTCTGTAACTCAGCAGGAATTGCAGGTAGGGCTATGACACCTGGCTGTCCTTCACAAGTCTGACTGATTTGTATACTGCTCATCTGTTTTGACCTTCAGTTTTCCATCTGTAGACAGGGGTAGTGAAACACAGCATGTTGTGAGTAGATAACTGCCAACCATTTGAAGAATGCCTGCTCGTAATCAGTATTGTTGTATTAGGGAATTTGGGGTCCAAAAGGTTGAAACATTTTTCCTGATGCTGCAAGGACATGAAGTTGTCAGCCGGGATATGCTCAGGCTTAGTTTGGGTTTAGGCCAGGCATTTACAGACAGTGCTTTGGAGGCACTAATTTGCATTCCAGATGCTTCTCTGGGTTTCCTTCTATCTCACCTTTGCTTTTTTTCCTGGGGCATCAAAGTTCATTTGCTGCCTGATTTGTCCCAGTGCTGGCTGTTGCACAGCAGATCCTAGCTACAAGTCCCCAAACGAGAGTGAAATAGACAATGGTTGTTTTTAATCTGTGCTTGCTATCAGCTTCATATTAATTCTTCATTCACTCTCAGTCCCTCACCTCACCGGCTCTGGCATCTGGTAATTAGCTGCTCTGAGCGTATTCCTGTTGACATTGATCTGTGGAATTATGTAGTTCCTGTGTGAGCTATCAGTTTTAACAAGGACCTCCAGGAGGACTAGGTATCCCTCTTAGAGGGACTTTCTTTTGTAGGAAGCTCCTCAGGGCAGGGAAGGTGCCAAGAAATCAGCAGTTCAAACCTGGTTTTGCCAGAGACTCTGGCATCTCTTGTCTGTGTCACTGTGTTTCCAGAAGAGAGGTCTCACTCACTTACCTCTGGCCCACCAAGGCTGTGCAGTGCCAGCTGGTCTTGAGAGAGAGAGAAACCATCTATTTTTCTCCTGATCTTGGGTTATGGTGTGCATCCAAAACTGGGTACCACTAGGGAAGGGAATTTGATACGCTGTCTATGTCCTGTCAGGCCATCGTCTAATTTTCTCAGCTAGCCTTACTGCTAACACTTCAGAATATTTCCAGGCAATAAAATGCCCTTCTTTCCTCATTTCACTAAATTGTATACATATTTCATTTTTTTAACCTTTTCTTGTAAGTCATTCACTCAGAATCTAAACACTTCATCATCTTTATTATGCATTTCTGAACTCCCTGTGATATATCTCTCACTTTCTGACAGCCAGGCACTTGATGGGGGTAATTCCAGGTCCTTGTGATTCACGCAGTGCCCCTAAGGCACATGTGACAAGAATGAAGAATTTGGGGGGATCATATAGGAGAGAGGTCATATAGGAAAGTCTGTTTCCCTCTCTCTTCCCCTGACCTTTTTCTGCTGCTTCTCAGAAAGGCCGTACCCATGTGTAAATGCAGCATCCCAAGTGCAGACAGACTACAGATGTATAAGTAAGGGTTACTATTGCCCCTCTGCTCTCAGGTGTAATATATCTTTGTATGGAGACCGGAAACACTGATGAGCAACAGCATTACTAGAGTTGTGATTGATTGATGTTTTGAGGAAAAAAGGTCTTTAGGTTAACACTGAGTGAATGCTTTAAAATGTTTTTTCCCTTAAGCAAAATAGGAAGAGAAGTCAGCTGAGGGCACTAGTGAAAAGATGTTGCAGGAACACAAACTGAGATGGTTTCATTTGCGGATGAAGGGTTGGAGGCTGTGAAACACTTTTCAAAGTGAGAACTGGAAATGCTTTGAAATTTGTTGGCTTTGGTTTTGGTTTAATGGCAGACAAAACCTTTTGGGAATTGCTTTTTTTGAAAGAATGATTCACAGGGTCTTTGTGTCCCTCTGAAAACAAGGGGATGGGATGGTATTAGGTGGTGTGGTACAGGCAATACTGTCCAGTGCTCGCAAAGAAACGGTGCTCACTCCGAGGCTGCTTCCAGGGCAAGTGGTGAGTGAGGACACTGGTCATAGTTCCGCAACATATTTCCAGGGCCAGGGCAGGGAGAGCGCTATAAGCTGCATAGTATATGCCAGGTGTCAGTGGTGAACAGGGAGACAAATACCTGTTCTGCGCTCCTCATTTCAAGTGGAATGTAGAGTAATTGGTGGGAGTCCAGCAGAAGGGCATCAGGATGGTCAAAGACCAGGAGCAGAAGTTCTGAGGAAGAGCTCCTAAGGGAGCTGGACTGGCTCAGTCTAGCAAAGAGGAGGTTACTATCAGCTCTTGACCCCCAACTGTTTCAAGGGCACATTCAAAGATGACAAAACCAAAATCTTTTCATAGTATTAGACAACATAGTAGGTTGCAGTGACAACAACTGGTAGTGCTGAAGGTTCATACTGGACAAAGTTGGTTTCCTCAGGGAAATTCAAGACTTGGCCAGACAAAACCATACTGCCCTCCTGTAGAGCGGGAGACAGCTTCAAGCAGGAGATTGGATGGGATGCCTCTGGAGGTCCCTGGCAGCTAGCATTTCTGCTACCCCCTTCTTCTGCCACCCCAGCCGTGCTGTAAACTTCCTCTTCCTCGTCCTGTCCCTCTTTGTCTGGGTCTGTGTCCTCCCTTGGATAGTCTAGGTGGATGAAACATTGCCAGTGGCACTTATCCATCAACAGAGAAGAAAGCTGGCTCCCTTCAAAGATTAGTGCTGCGGCTCTGCAGACTGTCCCTGGGCCAGCTGGGGCATACAGCTATGGTTTGAGGCTGAGCCCCAGAGCTGTGCTGGAGCCAGCCCAGCAGGCAGGCTTGCCTGCCTTCCCCCTTACACCAGCACCTGGTTTCTCTCTTACAGGCTCCTTGAACCTGCTAGTCCGTGTGCGGAACAAGCGAGCCATTGACACCCAGGTCTGGTCACTCAGTGGGAACCGGGGGAACATGTGGCAGCAAGCACATGTGCCCATCAACCCGCCTGGGCCCTTCCAGGTAAGTCAGCTCCACAGTCAAGGAGTCACCTGCCACCTTTCCTGTCCATGTGGCAGGGATGTAGGAGCCTTCCGAGCAGTCATCTGCCTCTGTGGCACAGGCACTGGTGGGGCACTGGGAGGGCACTGGGAGCTCTCAACCCCAGGGTCACTGGGGCAAAGCAAAAGCTTGCTGAAGTTATGTGCAAGCATCAGTTTGGCACTATAAATTTCTGATTACTGCTGGTCTGGAAACCGCTTATCGAAGAGCACCTTTTGGTACCGTGTCCGTGTGACGGACAGGTCTCTTAGTGTTGAACATCTGGGGGCTGTTGGTGTAAAATGACTGAGTGCTAGAGATTTCTTCTAGCATGTGCTGCGAGAACCCACCCCCACTCTCCCCCCCGGTTTAGGACTATAGGAGATTTTGTGAGTATGAACTGGACACTCTGTATCTGCTCGTCGAGTCACTCATGTGTAGCCAGGAAGTGACTGCTTTTATTGCTGGTGTTTTTACTCAACAGGCTACTTTGCTGTTGTAGGGTTGTTTGTGAGAGCTGCTCTGTGCAAGCTGGTAAGTTGTGGCACTGTGACAAAATGCCCAGTATGCTTCAAAATAATAAATGAGAATTTAGTTACTCTTGCAAGTACTGTTCAGTATTGGTTGGCTTGTTAGCGCAGGACACTTAATAAAGCAGAGCTGTACATGGTCATTTATTACCGTACAGACATTCAGCACAGGGAGGTTGGTCCCAAAAGCAGTGGGATCTGGCTTTCCAGATTCTGTGAGTACTGGAGAAACGGGAAGGAATCATTCACTTGGGGACCTGATAAGATCTGGTCTGTGTCCTGCTCACCTCTGCAGAGCCCTGCAGTGCGGGAAGGGCCCTCCACAACTGCAGCCTCATGCCAGGCTCTCTCCCATGCTCTGCTTGCAGTTAATTTTCGAAGGTGTCCGGGGCACGAGCTACGAGGGGGACATTGCCATCGATGACGTCACTCTGAAAAAGGGAGACTGTCCAAGGAAGCCAATTGGACCAAATAAGGGTGAGACTGTGTGTGCCTCAGAGGCAAACAAGTTGGTATGAGTGCATTCAAAAATGCATGCACTAAGGATGCGCAGCTAATTTCAAAGCACATGTTGGTGGGACTCAACAAAGTGGTTGACTCCATCAGCAGAAGTCAGCAGAGGAGCTGTCAGATTCTTGAACACCTCTTTACAGTGGTGAGTTAGCAGAGCTCAAAGGAACAGCCAGATCCTGTAGGGGCTGTGGTGCCAGACACCAGCATGTCTGCACCAGTATGTTGGGTGGGGGTGTCATCCCGAAGAAGCTAAGGACTTCTGCAGTATCTCATTTCTGGAAACCTCAGGTGCGGGAGCTTTGGAAATGGAATGGTCTTCTGCAGGATTTAATGGCCTCTGCAGTGTTAAGTCAGTCCTTCTCCAGGAAAAAAAATCTGCTGTTTGGGGCATGGAGTAAAGGGGCTGGGATTCTTCCTGTTGCCCTCTGAGCAGAGAGGCACATCCAGGCAGGGTGTCACACATGCTGGATGGGAGCAAGCTACCTGAGCTGTATGGCACCTCTCTCCCAATCCTGACAGTGAGCACTTGAGCTAAATCCCACCAGTCTCTTTCCAGTCCATCCACATAACCTGATGCCAGCACTGCAGTAATGGAGACAACTCCACTCTCACTGGGATGCACTGTAGGTTGCAGCCATAGCAAGGTGTGTAAGCAGTATGGAGGCATTCACCCTCGAGTGGGAATTACTGGTGTGCCTATTGCCTTAGTTCTGCCTGTGTCCTCGATGACATGCCTCAGGTGGGCAGGAGGACACATGTTTGGAGTAGGCAAATCAGAGACAGGCAGGCACTTGTGAGCAAGTTTTTGTTATTTTTGAAACAAAAAAATTTGTTGAGTAAGAGTCACTTTCAGCAATTTTCTTAACTTCAAAGGTGAAGGGGGAAACAAAACATAAAAAAGTGAGAACACCCTAAAAATTTCAAAATTTTATGTGCAGTTAAAGGTCTGTTTCAGCCTAGGATGGTTAACCTGTAACCAAAACACAACCAGAACCTTTTGCTTGACTCAAGTTGAAACTTCTGGGGATGAAAGGAGGGTTGGATTGCAAAAGTATCTAAGATTCAACCTTTTCTCCAAAGTTAGAAAAGAAATAGTTTTAGGAAACCTTGAGAATGTCCAAGAAAGGCTAGAAATATCTTCCAATAGATATGTGTGTTTTGGTGTGGGAGAAGACATTGATGCGTGCTGATCTGTCCCATCACTAATTCTCTTTCTCTCTTCTCGGTTGGCAGCGGTTGCTCTTCCAGGAAGTGGTGTCCCAGCCCTGCACAGCCCTTGTCTTTGTGGCCCATTGACTTTCTTCCTTTACGTGCTGCTCAGATGATGGCAAGCGAGCGCTCCTGTCTTCGGACCAAGACATTCCTGCTCCTTTCCTGATCAGCCACCTCTGCTCCTTTTCCTACCCTCCTCACTGGCACACCAAAGTGTCCATATGTTACCAAAGACTGACAGGCATGACCACGCAAAGGGATCTGGTTCAGAACTGGAGCACTCCTTGAGAAAGTCGTAATGTCTAGAACAAAGTTTAAAAATAAAGACAAAACTTTTTTTAAAAGCACGTGCACGAGAGAGTGAGAGAGAGAGAGGAAGGAAGAAAAGAAACAGAAACAGACAGAAAAGAAGGAATGAAAGACAAAAAATAGGATGAAGAAATGTGAAGAGCAAATGAAGGAGGAAAAAAACACCCCCATGTTTCCTTGGGAATGTCGGACAGGGCTTCCTCAGGGAAGTGGGAACTTGTTTTAAACAAACAAACAAAAATATATTAAAGCACAAATTTCTACCAGAACAGTTACCTTCTTTACTGCAGACCCCACAGCTTAGTGGATGATATACTGCAGTACTCCCCTTGTCTTCTCATGCTTTCCCTCTGGCTGGGGCTGCCCCACTCCAGCTGCAGCTCCCTGCAGTAATGCCAGCCTCAACCGTGGGGCAGCAGCCACCCCAAGTGCCAGTGGCCAGAGCACCTTGCCTCACACCGCATGTGCTTCAGTGTCTCCATCCATCCACATCTTCCAGGCTCTCATGTATTTAATTGCTCCCAGTGTGGTTTGCTTTGGCCTTTCCCCACTTCTCTGTGCTTCTCACCCACCAGCCTGAAGAAGATGGAGCAGGAAGGGACCGATGACGCGGACCACGCTGAGTGGTGAAATACTGGCTGGATCCAGCTGCAGCACTGGCCTCTAAGAGCCTCTTTCTGTCTTTCAGCACTCTTGCTGGGTAGGAAAACTATGAGAGCAGGTCTGAGCTGCAGACAGAAAGGTGTCTCTGTCAGGCTGGGGGATGAGGTGTGATGGGATGGGACTGGAAGGGTGGAGCAGTTGTGCTTTGGCTTCCACCTGGGCATATTGGGATGACGGCCACCTAAACCCTAAATCCAGGATTGCTTCTCTGCCTCTACTTCATTACCTATTTATTTTGGTTGTTATTCCATTGCTTAACTTTCTCCACCTCAAGCTTTCTGTATTATGGGAAAAGTGAGGCATTTAAATGTTTGTCAGACAAACAGCAGGTCCTGTGCCCGTGATCCAGCCCCTGGACTGGCAGTTCAGGCAGCTCCGATGCTGCACCCTCACCTCCAGAGGCCTTTCTGCATGCATGGCACATTAGCTGCAGCATGGGTGAAGGGTGCAACAGCATTGCTGCTCAGGGGAGAGGTGGCTGAATTTTGTCAGCACATGCAGCCACACAGGCACTCACACGGCTTCCACTGCCAAAGCAGTGGGCAGAGGAGCTGAAAGGTGAAACAGGCAGGAACATGCCCCAAGAAGGATGAAGGATGGAGGCAGGAAGTTGACCCAAAAGAGGGGTTTGTGCTGAACTGTGGCCCTGTTTGCCACTGAGGAACAAGTAGACAGGAAATTCACCTTTTTCCTGCTGGTGTCATGAAAGGATAAAGCTGATGTTTCTCCCTGCTTGCAGACCTGTAGCAGATGGAGGCATGTGCTAGTCCAAATTAAACCCCCAGGATAAGGGTCTCCCCTGCACTGGCCAGAAAGGAGCTGTGATAGCCTTGGTGCATCTGGAAGCAGCTCTGGACATGAGTAATCTCCTGCACAGGTCAGAGTTAGCCCCACAGGACTGTGAATTGTGGTTTACTAGCCCGTGCTCTGGCAATCCATTTAAGTGGTACTCTTCCTCTTGGGGAACACCCCATCCAAAACCCCTGTCTAAGGCACCAGAGATGTATAATAAGCTAGCTCTCTCACTGAAGCCCTCAGTACCCATGGCTTCTTACCTATTTCTGATGAATATATCAGCTTCTCTGAGACAGCTGCATTTATCTGAAATCACCTGAATGTATTAGCTGCCTCCTGCATTGCTCAGCTTCCAGCCACAGCTGGTGCTTCCTTTCCTTCTCTGATGGGGGGGAAAGCTCTTACCTAACTCCCAGGAGATCCAGTTTGAAGTCTTGAAATCCATCACTCCCTAGATCCTGGAAAGGTATTCATCTGCACTAATGCACTAATGCTTCCCAGTCACCAGAGAGAGAAAGGATATCAGCTGTGAGGGGCAAGGGAACCTCCTTCACAGGAGGCAATGCAAGACAGTGGGAGGGGATTATACAGGTCTCCCTTACTAATTTGCTTTTCTCCATTTCCAAGAATTAGGACTGTGTCTTTTCTGTCTCCACTCCTCCCTTCAGAGCCCAGACCTTGGTCACACTGCATATTTGACCTGGAAACCCAAGACTGTTGCCTAGGGCCAGGCAGCATCATGGATGCAGTGGGTGCGAACAGCGATTCTGCATCTTGCTGTTTGTTGCCATTTTCATGGGCAGCCAGTGCCACCATCCTTTTTTAGCCGAGTTCTTTCAGTCCCATGCTCTTCCTTTCCTGCATGATTGTTAGAGGTCAGAAGTCATCACCCGATTCCTGGTAAGAGTCCACTTTTACTCCTAGGAGAGAGACAGTGCTTTCCAGGGGCCCTTGGGAACTTCATGATGGCTCCTGATCTGTCAGCAGCAACATATTTGTGTTGTGTTGCTGGTTCCAGGAAGCTCCTGCTGGGCAGAAAGTGGAGACAGAAACATTTCCCCATCGGTAAGAAATAGCCCAGGGCAACCATCTCACTTTCTAAGCTCTTACTAAGGCAGAGACCCTTGTGGCCTTGCTTCTACAGACTGCTTAGCCCAGGTCGCACAAGCACATTTTGTTGATGTTTAGGTGAGGTGAGTGTCAGCAAAGGGCCACCACATTTTTAGAAAGGGACACCTGCAGGGAGGGTGTCCATGCCCTCCTGCCAGCTCCTGCAAGGAAGGATGTAAGTGCCTCACCAAGCAAACCCATGGCACAGGGGGCAAGAAGTCCATTGGTGGCTGTAGGTCCAGGGAAGAACAAGAAGATTGCCCCAGCCAGAGGTGAAGCCTTCTGCTGTCAGGTGTGGACCCATCAGCTTCAGAAAAAGTCTCAGGGAGCCCCTTCCTGCTTAGACCTCTGCTCCTTTATCTCTGTCTAGAAATCAGCTGGTGATAAGTTTGGGGGAAGTCATTAACTCAAGTGCCTCAGCTTGTCAGAACTACCAAGGTTGAAAAGAAGGACTTCATTTCCTTGGCAAATGTGCTGAGAGAGAGTAGCAGAGGAAAGAGGTACTTCCGCAACAAGGATGGGAAGCTGTGCAGTGATGGGGTGGAGGGGAGGCAGTGTCCCTCCTCTTTGGGGACAGTGGTATTTGTGGTTTACTACTCCATGCTTGAGGGACAAATCTCCTTAGGGTGGTAATGCATCCTAGGTGAGATACAAAGCCATGTTCTTTACCCCTTCCAATTAAAGATCCCTTCATGCTTTTCACAGTGTTCTGCCTAAATTATAGTCCTTAAAATTAATTACAGTCTGTCTGCTTAAATATCTATTGCAGTCCTAATGTTATGTTTCTCTTTCTGATGTTTTATGTTGCTCCGTGCCTATCGAGTAGCTGCTTTATTCCACTCCAGAACCGACTGCATTTCAGCGATGGTGGATATTATTCGTGTATATAGCATGAAAGTCCCTGCAGAAGAAAAGTGCAATATAAATTTAAGAGACTGCTTTTATTTACAAAGAGACCTCTGCTTGGTAGTTGTAGAAATACATTAGGAAGAATGCTGTGTGGGTGTTAGCCAATATATACTCAATTTCTTTTTTTTTCAGGGTATAAAACAGAAAATATGTGAGTGTGCAGGCTCCTGGGTATAAGTTGTAGATATTAGAAGTACTGAATGCTACTGTATAGTTGCAAGTGGGGCTTACAAAGAAACTTTCATTTGAAACCTCTTTTTGTAGTTGTTCATTGTATTCTGAAAAATATACTTTTTTAATTATAATTTTCTACAGTTCAGTGCAAGTCCCAATACCAGGTCATCAACAGGACTTTAATCCATGACTTTTAACAATGTGAACATCAATTTTTACTGCTTGCTCTGAAATGCAGCTCCTGGCTGATAATAGTAATAGACTAGTTTTCTTCTACGTAGATCAGCCATTGGAAAGCAATGGAACTAATATGTTTCATTTGATCTGGAGTTAAGTAATTTGGAACGCCTGACTGCAACTCTTCCCAGCTGTACGGGAGTGAAAAAATGTCTCATCTATATGAAAAACTTTGCATAGTGCACAAATGGCTTGGGAACTCCTGAAGTGTTGTGATTGTCATGCGTGTGGAGCTGCTCCAGCAGAGCTGCACAGCTTGCTGCCTGAAAAGCAGCTGTAGCAACAGCGATATGGAGCCCTTCTTCTGGGAAGTAGTTTTCTTCTGGTGAGAAATGCAGTGGCAACTGGGGAAAAAGTAGGGGGGGCTTCAGATGTTTAGGCTGGTAAATTTCTTGCAAAAATAATTTAGGGATGTATAAATGAGCATAGTGAACATGATACAAATTGTATTGTATTCCCTATTGCTATTCAAAATATGGAAATTTCATTTCTTTCCATACAAAATCCTGTGGGTGCACTACTCCAGAATGACAAAAAAATGCTTTACTACCAAAGGGAGAGCAGGGTCTAGATTCCTCCTCCTCAGCCCTTCCCTATCATTCTGTGCCAAGAAAAGCACCCTGCTTTTGGGTTGGCACCCTGTGCTTCTCAGCCTGGCAGTGATAGTCACTGGGGTCAGCAAGTGGTGCTGATGGCAGAAGCATCGTTGCCCTGAGCCTTGTCTTCAATGTGAAGCTGTCCCTGTGCGAGGCACTGACAGGAGGAGCCCTGCTCCCCACTAGTTCTCAGCTAGGCTGAGGCAGGGAATTTTACCTATGGGAATTGCCGGGGGTCCTTCATGCTGCCCGAAGGGACCTCACCTGCCCCAGGCAGGGACAGACAAAGGAACCAGGGTATTTTCCCTGCTAGATGGAGTAAATAGTGTCACCTCACCCCACTTGAAGAGACAAACTTTTTCCTTAAAGCAGAGAGCTCAGGGAGTTGCTGCTTCATGGTGTTGCTGGTTTAGTCCCCTTCTTCTGTCAGCACCATTCAGAAATCCATCTTTCTCTGGAAATGCTGCAGCACCCCTTTGCCTTCTGCCTTTGGATGATCTAGCAACAGCATGGAGGGACTTATCACCATGGGCTCTGTGCTTCAAGCTGGGTGTACACAGCATCAAGAAATGCCCAGGTCTTGCACCCAGGGAGAAGGACAGCTTTTTAGTGAGGATAAGAAGTGGCATTGTATCTCCTGTGCAAAGGAGAGGCCTTCTTGCATTCCTGGCTTTGTCAGAGACCAGTTTTGGTCACCTAAACTGCCCTGACATCTGGTCTTTTCCAGGCTGCCCTCAGTGCATGTGCACTCCTGTTTGTAGAGGCAAGAGTGCAGCAGCAGG